AGATCATCAACATTGTCAAATGTTTGGAAATTAAGAAGCACATTTCAAATAACAAATGAGCCAGAGGAGAAATCACAATGGAAACTAGACAATGTTTTGAACTGAATGATAACGAGGCAGCTAAAGCTGTGTTTAGACAGAAATTTCCGTGCCTCGGAGCTCTCTGGAAGAAGCCTGAAAGAAATCAATGAAGCAACTACTCATTTCAGGGAGCTTGAAGAAAGAGAGCAAATTAATCCCAGAGGTGTGGACACCACAGTGAAATTCAAAACAAACGCAAGGATGGGGAGATTGCTGGGCTGGTGAAGTCCTTGATGGGCAAGCATTAGGGCCTGAGTCCCAAGCCTCAGTACCCACATTGTAAAAACGCTGGATATGAGCCGGGCGGTGGTGGTGCATGCCTTTAATCCCAGCACTCGGGAGGCAGAGGCAGGCAGATCTCTGTGAGTTCGAGGCCAGCCTGGTCTACAAGAGCTAGTTCCAGGACAGGAACCAAAAGCTATGGAGAAACCCTGTCTCGAAAAATCCAAAAAAAAAAAAAAAAAAACAACAAAACAAAAAACGCTGGATATGGTAGCATGCGTTCATAATCCTAAAGTTGGAAAGGCAGAACCTGGTGGATTCCTGGGGCTTGCTGGACACAGCCTGGCCCCCTTGGTGAGCTCCAATCTGATGAGACTCTGTCTCAAAAACAAGACGGGTGGTTCCTGAGGAACAACACTCAAGATTTCCTTCTGGCTTCCACAGGCATCCACACCCATTTGTACATGCACCTGCACACACGTGCACACGGACCATCCTCCAAGAAAACCCCAAAACATATAGAAAAGAGACAACAGAAACTTGTCTTGGCTAGACCACTGGCAAAACTGATCAATAAAAGAGCACCCAGACTGGCAACATCATTCATTGAGTAAGGGGCTTGCCTCCAACCGCAACAACCTGCATTCTATTCCTAGACCTCATATGGTAGAAGAAAACACTCCTGCAAGTGGTCCTCTGCCCTCACACGTGCGACATACTACATGCCTTCCATATATAAATATATATTTTTTAAAGAAAAACTATAGATTACTCACACCAGAATTTAAAAAAATAGAAAATCATCTATAGGATTTGCAGTAATGACTGTATTAGTCAACAGTCTTATTGAAAGAAACTAAGACAGAGAAACAATGTGCAGTGTTTAACAATTTGCTTGATATGAACAAATTCTTTTTCAAACACAAATCTCCAAAAATTGACAAGGGAAGAAATGCAATCATTTTCTTGTTTTCTTTACTGAATTTAAACCCTTCTCACACAGAAAAATCACAGTTAGTTTCACTTGTAAATTCAAAGGTAAATAGCATCAGTCTTACAAAGTCTTTCTGAGGAACAGGTTAGCACAGTATCAAAACTCCACAATGAAATTAGAAAAAATAAAGACTAAAACTTCTCATGAATTTAGGTGCAAATATCTGAAAAACATACTAGTTAACTGAGTCTAGATACTAGAAAAATGGTCTAGACTAACGTGTCAAGACAAGTTTGGAGAGGGCAGGGCTGGAGAGATGGTTCAGGGGTTAAGGGCTCACGGATGCTTTTCCAGAGGATCTGGGTTCGATTCTCAGCACCCCCCCCCCAACAGCTGACAGCAGTCTGTAACTCTAGTTCCAGAGGATTCGACACCCTCTTCTGGCCTCTGAGGGCACTGCAAATGTGGTACACAGCTACAACATACAGGTAAATCACATGTACAGACAAAAACATGGTAGAGGTGGTGGTGGTTTGGATTTAGTTCAGGAGAGCAAGGTGCATTCAGTGTTTAAAAATTAATAAGCAGAATAAAGCAGGAAAATAGTGATGATTATGAAGACAGAATGAATAAAATTTAGTAACAGTCAGGATAAAACTCTCATTAATCAATGAGTACAGGGCACTTTTAAAATAATGTATATGTACAAAAAGTTTTCTATCTGGGCTGGGGATGGAGCTCAAGGGCAAAGTGCTTGAAGGTGCGCACAAAGCTCCAGCAATACACACCAACATAACTCCTGTGCACACACTGGGCGGGACGGGACTGGGAATGAAATAAAGCCAGGACCACACACCAACACAACTCCTGTGCACACACTGGGCGGGACGGGACTGGGAATGAAATAAAGCCAGGACCACACACCAACATAACTCCTGTGCACACACTGGGCGGGACGGGACTGGGAATGAAATAAAGCCAGGACCACACACCAACACAACTCCTGTGCACACACTGGGCGGGACGGGACTGGGAATGAAATAAAGCGAGGACCACACACCAACATAACTCCTGTGCACACACTGGGCGGGACGGGACTGGGAATGAAATAAAGCGAGGACCACACACCAACATAACTCCTGTGCACACACTGGGCGGGACGGGACTGGGAATGAAATAAAGCCAGGACCACACACCAACACAACTCCTGTGCAAACACTGGGCGGGACGGGACTGGGAATGAAATAAAGCGAGGACCACACACCAACACAACTCCTGTGCACACACTGGGCGGGACGGGACTGGGAATGAAATAAAGCGAGGACCACAGGAACGTCTATTCTAAGATGTACTGGACTTTAGCCCCTTTAATAAGACAGAGGGGAAATGTACAAGACAAAAGGGGATAACATGAGCCTACCTGGCACTGGGTGGGGACAGACATGAAGGGTGGGCTGAGGGTAAAAGGAGGGGCAGAAAACTGTGCAAAAGTCCGGAACTATGTGATTTTCTTCTCTCCTGTAAATGATATAACTAGGCCTCAGGAGGTATATTGATTAGTTTAAGGAAACTCTTTAAGTAGAAAAGTCAATTGATCCAGGATCTAAGTTTCTTTTCTATGTGCTATGATCCTTCTCTGGAAGGGAGTTAGAAAAGTCTAAAGAAAATTTTGTTCAGAATATGTTACTAGGTCTCCCAAACCTAGACAAGATTGCTACTGAATTCATTACCCAGAACCTGGTTTTCTTACATAGCTAAGAATATAAGAACATTTTAGGCTGAAATGAGTATAGTTCTTTTCTACTCTGAACTCAAAGAAATGTTACAAAAATATTTTGAGGGGGAGAAAGGAGAGAAGGAAAGAGAGAGAACACAAACTTGTGATCGAGAAAGAAAGGAAGAGATATTTGTAGATGCTGGAGATGAAGGAAACCCTTAAAAGTAAACATGAGGGAAATGACCCAGACTCAGATGGCTTGAGGGCTGGTGATTGGGGTGTTAGTGGGGATCCAGGAATGGTAGAATGGTTGTGGGTGAGCGGTAAGGAATAGATTGCCATCCTCGTCTTGTGAGCCCCGGACAAGCTCCTCAGTCAGCGGAGGAGGCAGATGAAAGAACCGGTCCACAGAGTAGGGGATCCTGTCAGGGACTGTAGGTGGGCGGCCATAGATCAGAGACAAGATATGCATGAAATGGAAACCTCAAGCCTGTGTCACATCAGGTGTTGGGGGGAATCCATGATATTTAGGTGGCAGAGGAAGATGATATTCTGAGATAGAAATTCTGAGCCCCATAGAACTTGCTAGGTCCCTGACAACAGCAGAAACAAAACAAAACAAGGATACTTGCACAACATAGCACACAGGGCTTCCCTAACAAGGTGTGCGAGTTTTTTGTTTCTTTTCTTTTTTTTTTTTTTTTTTTTTGAAGAAAAATATGAACATGGAACTGGAAAAATTGCTCAGTGATTAAGAGCACTGACTGCTCTTTTGGAGGACCTGGGTTCCATTCCCTGCACCCACATGGCAGCTCACAACTGTTTGTAACAACAGTCCCAGGAGATACGATGCCTTCTTCTGGCCTATGTAGGCACTGCACACATGTGGTACACACACCGATGTACATAAACAAGGAAAAGGTTCTAAAAGTAGCACATTTTCCAAGAATTACAAATAATCAGGGACCTCTGCGTGCCAGCCTCAGTGTCCCCTGCAGGGTTCAGAGAAGACTCACAGCAAGCACAGGACTCATCTGAGGGTGAAACGAACTCTCACTACGTACTGTTCTGCATCAGCTTCTTTATTCCTCTCCTGCTACTCTCCCTCTCTTCTGTTTATACACACACACAAAACAAAGGCAATTCTCTGGGCTTGGATGCCCCTTTATCTTTGAAGCTCCCAATGCGGTCTATATGAAAGACTCCTTTCCTGACTGCATGTCCTGCCAAATGGAGGACAGTTGCAGGGAGGGGGCTTCTAATGTCTCTCAGAGAAGGAAGCGGAGATTAGACTGTGGGAACCAAGGCTATTGACTGCATGACTAAATTTCCCACTGGATGTCCCACAGAGTGTGTGTGTGTGTGTGTGTGTGAGTGTGTGTGTGTGTGAGTGTGTGTGTATGTGTGTGTGTGAGTGTGAGTGTGTGTGTGAGTGTGTGTGAGTGTGTGTGTGTCAGTGTGAGTGTGTGTGTGTGTGGTGAGTGTGTGTGTGTGAGTGTGTGTGTGAGTGTGTGTGTGTGAGTGTGTGTGTGTATGAGTGTGTGTGAGTGTGTGTGAGTGTGTGTGTGTGTGTGTGTGTGTGTGAGATGACCCAATAAACCAGAACGTGGGAAAGAGTTGTGCCCACTTGTCCATACTCTGCCGAACCTTGCACCAGGGGAGAGTGCTTCCCCTTCACAAGAGATTCACCGTGAGAACTGGTCGATATGCACTTCTAGGCATAAGTTTACAGTCTTAGAGCTACAGGCTTAGGGAGAATATTAACTGAATTCTCAAACTATAGTCATTAAAATAAAAGCCTGTACAATCAGACCACTGGGTTCATGTGTTGAGTTAGCTTGATGAGTTGAAGAAATTTGGTTTGTTTTCTTCTCTCTCACGACCTAACAATAAATAGGGAATGGCAGTAAAGTACTGATGCACGGTAGGCTCCGAATCAATCCCAGCTATTATCATTACTTAATCTTAACTAAGTCCTGCAATTTAAGCGTGATTTGAAGGACATGTTTAATATACCTAGTGAAAAACAGAAACAAGAACACATACTCTGATATCCACCGAGCAGCCCACAGTCCACGACGGATTTCCCAGCACTTGACTGTGGCATAGAAGATGGACGAGTGACGATTTCCCAACACCTGTGGAAGAGACACGGTTTCTGTCAGCTGGGTACGAAGCCCTAAATGGGACATCTATACCACTGCCTGTAATATACCACTGCCTGTAAGCCAGGGAATAGCTCGCAAAATTGTTTCAATTCCGTCAGTGACAGGACTCATGATGTCATGATTCCACAATGCAAAGAGCCTTAGTTCTCACACATAGGTTTTTACAAAGCAGCTAACCACTTTGTCCTAGATTTATCCTTGGATGATGATGATAATAATAATAATAATATTAATAATTCTCTCTTTTCTTCACTATTGCCTTTTATTTTGAAGCAGCATTTTATCTCTTTCTAGATCTCCTGTGCTCAGACAATCTTGTCACTAACACTAGAGGACATCTCTTGAAGATCTAGGTTGAGGAAAGGGATGAACCATCTATTTATATCCTGCGTGGAGTCACTCATTCACTTAATTGGCTATGTATTGATAATTGTATCAAAAATTCAGGAAATCTCTCTGTGTTCAATATTATATATGGGTCTATAACTCATGTTTACTTTTTATTATGAAAACTGTATTCCCAACAACTGAGAAAGTATAAAAAGAAAAAAATTACCTTAGACCACTACTGCCAACCAAAAGTTTTCTGGAACTAGCTCTTGTAGATTAGGTTGGCCTCGAACTCATAGAAATCCGCCTGCCTTTGCTTCCTAAGTGCTGGGATTTAAGGCGTGTACCACCATTGCCTGGCCATTAGGGGTTTTCTATGAACATGTTGTGACCATAAACATAGTGTGCTTAAAAACAATACAAACTGGCTGAGGTCCAACGCTTGCCTTCCAAGCTTGAGAACCAGAGTTGCATCCACAAAACTGACACACAACACCCAGGCAGAGGCGCAGGCTTGTAATGCCAGTGTTGAGGAGTCAGAGACGAATCCCTGATGTTTGATAGCCTGACAGCCTTAGCTTAGGGACTCTAGGCCAAGGGGAGACCTCATCTTAAAAAGGAGGCTGGGAGCAGAGGCAGGTGAATCTCTGTGTTCTAGGCTTGCCTGGTTTACACAGTGAGTTCTAGGCCAGCTTGATTCTATGCTAGCCAGTGCTATATAGTGAGACCATGTTTCAAACACGGCCACCCCCAAACACTGACAACGCAAGGTGGAAGAGCTGGAGAGATGGTTCCTCCATTAAGAGCCTTTGTGGATTTTGCAGAAAAGGCTTGGGTTCAATTCTCAACTTTGTGGAAAGTAATTAAAAAATCCACAGTGATCCACATTATGATCATGTCTGCAAATCATTGTTTCCTGTTTTTACAAATTTTCTACTGATGTGCTCTGCTCATTTAACTAATAATGTGTTTTAGTGCTACTAACTTCTATGACCTTTTGTGTCATACTGTGATATTGGGTATTGCACATGTTTAAGATTTGAGGGCACACAAAATCAGTTTTGTCATTATACTTACTGCATAGTGCCTGTCATCTACAGTCTTTGGGCATATTGTTGATTTGGGGGCTTTCATATAGGTTTGTGTTGGAGGCATACCTGCTGTGGGACAATGGTCTGTACCCTGTCACTTATATTTTAAATAAATGCTGATTGGCCAGTAGCCAGGCAGGAAGTATAGGTGAGGCGACCAGGCAGAATGTAGAGGTTGGACAACAAGAATTCTATGAAGAGGAAAGTTCTTTCTGCAGTTGTGATCCAGCCTCAGAGGAAGCAAGATATGACTGCCTTGTCAAAAAAGATACCGAGCCATGTGGCTAACACAGACAAGAATTATGGGCTAATATAAGTTATAAGAGTTAATAAGAAGCCTGAGCTAATGGGCCAATCAATTTATAACTAATGTAGACCTTTGTGTGATTCTTTGGGACTGAATGACTGCAGGACCGGGCAGGACAGAAACCTCAGACAACACATACCGAGGGCTTTAATTATCTATCATCTTGATATATGCTTGAGTTCAAAGTTGGCTTAACTGTATGAGGATAAGTATCTCCATGTATTAATATCACATAGTTTATTTAGCTCTCTATGAACTATGCTTTGAGTGGTAGTTAAAAGGAAGCAAAGCTCTCAACAGTAAGAACAGATGACATCCCGGGAATAGCGAGTGGTTAACTAATTATTTAAGAACTTTGGAAAGTTAACATCAATCTATAAACAGATGTCCTTTTACCCACAGATAAAGGTAGTCCTTGCCCCTCATCAAGGAAACGTCACATAGAAAGCAGACAGAAACCATTACAGAAACCCACAACCAAGCAAATTGCAGAGCTGTGGAGTCCAGTCCCAGTGGATACATCTACAAAACACTCCCACGCCATAATAATGTTCCGAGAACAGGACGGAAGAAGGGGTGGAAAGACTGTAAGAGCCGGAGGATTGAGGAGTCTGCTGTGAGACTGTGACTCCTAGTGATCTCAGAAGCTACACCCATGAAGTCCCGCCAATATGACTGCCCAAACATGAGCTGAACAAGGATGACACCAACGAATACACCACAATGGACAGGGCAAAAACCCACAAGGCCTCACCCCTACACCAAGAACTACAGACAAGGGTAAAGCTGGGAATGGGAGAGGTGGTCCTCCACCAGGGAAGGATACATCAACTGTTTGTCCAGTGCCAGTCAGTCAGTCCTGAACACATATAAACAAGCAGCATGATTAGGGCGTAACAGGTTATAGTTAGGAATATACATGTATATGCAAATACTGATATGCGGGCAATAATAGTTAATGATAAAAAGAGGCCACAAATTTGAATAAAAGCAGGAGGGGTAAATTTAAAGGTTTAGAGGAAAGAAAAGGTATGAAGAAACGTTCTAATTAAATTGTAATCTCAAAAATAAAAAATTACAAAAAGATGAACTTTTAAAACAATGGGGGAGAGTTAAGACTGATTTCAGTCTTAGAATTAAATAGGTCAGCTCTTTGGGGTATATGTCCTCTCTATTCCCAAGCATCCAGTCAAGTCTGTTTAGAGCGCCAACATTTAAAAGCGTATCTATAAAATGCATGGCTGGGGTGCATTCAAGTTCTTGAGATCTGGAAATGGGAAAGAGACAAGTTATGAGGCAGGAGAGGAAAATATAGATTTCAATAGTAATTATAAAATGGTCAGGTTATAAAAACTATTTTGACATTAAATTAAACTGTATTTAGCATTAAGCTGCTTCATAGTGTGACCCTTATCAATTTTTTTTTATTTCGTACATCTCAAAACCTAATAGGTAGTCAACTATCAGATGAGAACCAGGAAGTGAAAAAGGAAATCGTGACTACCATTTAAAAAAATAAATCACATTGCATGCTACAGCTTACGACTCTGGGTTCACACTAGTTAGCTTCACTTTTATCATCTGTAGAATGGAGTTAACGGTCTCATTTTAGAATTAAAGGCATTAATACGTGTCAGAGTATTCTTAGTGTTAATTCGACTTAATGAACAAAATTTCCTGAAAGGGCGGTTATATCAACTTTTGTCTGCCTAACAAGAGCAATAAAAGAATTGACAACATTAACCCTCGGCCGGGGTCGCCTGGGAGACGGACGTGATGAAAATCAAAAGCAGAGAAAGACCCGGGCTCCGCGCCCCCCACCTCCCAACACGCTGCCACGTCGTCAAAAGGAGCAAAGTCCTCTGGGAAGTGTAGTTTTAAGGTCTTGGGAAGGACTTCAGCCATGAACCCAAACGCTAGGAAGTTGGGGGTAAAGCAGCGAAGACTGGGGAGTATCCAGTAGCTCAGGCGTGTCGGGAGTTCCAGACGTGGGCTAAGCGGCTCACCTGAGTCTCCCAACACCAGAACCTTCACTCGATCCAGGGACGCCATCTTGCCACGATTTCCTTGAGGTTAACGCCCATTCCTGGATTCCCAGCCAATCAAATCAGGGTTTGAGGGCAGGGCCTACCATCTCATTGGTCGGTCAGAGCATGAGTGGTTTGAGTGAAAGGTTCTCCGTGCGGATTAACGGGTGGTTTCCAAACTGGTCGCAGGAATTAGGCGTTTGTCCTTGTCTCGCAAGTGGCGTGGGCTGGCTGAAGCCGGTAGTTGAGGTGCCGAGGGCGGCTGTAGTGGGAGTGTTGGAGCATCCGCTTGGGTAAACCTTATTCCCTGATCCTTGTTCCCGGTTTCCGACCTGGCGTGGTATTTCATGGTTTTCTCCTGTCCGTCCCCGCCTTCTCTAGTCCCCTCTCCTCGACCACCCTCTTGTCTTGGTCCTTTTCTTAATCTTCCAAAGAACCATTGCCCGGGAGCGGCCCATGTGCGACCTCGGGTAGGACGGGCTCGGAGGCGTCGGCTGTGGTCCGGGAGCCCCCGGTGGGGTGTCGGAATCTGGACGCTCCTGAGCACAGTTGGAGGAGGGCACCTGGGTCCGCACGGGCCCCTCACAGGACGAAGGGATGGAGAGTTCGTGAACTACAGTAACAAAAACTGTAGAGGCCTCGTCGAATCCAAGTTCTAGAACTTGGGAAGTAGTATTTTGAAATAGTCTTAACAAACCAGGCGTCCTGCACCCACTTTGTTCTTTTATCTTCCACTCTTCATCCAGAGTCGTCTTTTTTTTTTTTTCCAAAAAGTCACAGATTTAACTTCGTAACTCCTTGCTTAAAGTAGTGACAGGTTTTAAAAAGAAAAGGATGACTTACAGTTGTCATTATTGTGGATGCAGGTGTGAAACAAGTGAATTTTGTGGCAGCTGGCAGGATACATGCCCGGAAGATGTCTTGAAAGTTTGATTTAAGTACTTGAGTAGTTTATGCTAGGTGCTAGCGTGGGTGAACAAGATGAAGTTTCTGGTCCTAGAGATGTAGGTAGAAACTGCACAAATTATGAGGAAATGCGAAGGAGAGCATTAGATGTTGCGGTTGGGAGGACCAGATAACACGACCCAAAGCCTAAAGACCTTTAGGAGAAAACTTTGGGCTTATCGTTGAGGGCTGAGGGAACCGGTGTGTGGATGTGAGGTTAACTATGGCAAAAACAGAGGGATTTCAGCTTTGTTTCTCCCAACTCTACACCTGGGCCACAGTAATCCTTAATTGTTGTTGATGTTGTTATTTTGGTTTTTCTGTAGCTTTGGAGCCTATCCTGGAACTAGCTCTTGTAGACCAGGCTGGCCTTGAACTCACAGAGATCGGCCTGCTTCTGCCTCCCAAGTGCTGGGATTAAAGGCGTCCATCACTACAGCCTGGCAGTTCTTAAATGTTTGTACAATTAGAATATAGGTCTAGACTGGGTAGGGTGAAGTTGGGAAATGCCTGCTTACTGTGAAGAGGGAGATAAAATAAGAACATTACACCAAGAAGGCTCCATGGAGCAGAGAAGTTCCTTTCTTAGGTGTCAGCTGCTGTAGAAACTATTCTCGAAATGTGGGCTCACTTTTTTTTTTCACTTATTTCCAGTTTTTAAAAGTTGTTGGACGTTGAAGTTTATTTGCATTTTTACATTACCTGTGGACAACTGCTTCATAAAATGTTCTAAACATTCCAAAATGGCTGCCAGTTTCAGAGCTAGATTCGTCTTGATTGGGGAAGGAGTGAAGGAGTGAAGGCCCTGGTCAGGCAGGAAGATTTAAAATTTGAGTGTTTTGGACTAGCTAGCCCGCCTGAGCTCCAGTTTCTTAGTTTAGCTCCCTTGTGTGTGTCGTCAGAGGAGTAGCATGTATTTCACCCGAGTCAGGCTTCTGAACGTGAGGTTACCTCTTTCTCATGCGTTCCCCTCCTTGCAATGGCTTGAAATGGCTACTTGGGATTTTTTCCCCTAGTATATTGCTGGCTCCTTTTGATTGTGTTTCATTCATCTTGTCCTTGCAATTCTTCTGTTTCTTCCTCGGTTTAGGTTTTCTTACTACAGCGCTTGATACAGCCACAATGCCACCAGCTACATCTCACCAGTTCACTGGCGTAGGAAGAAGTTAGATGGGGGAGTTGGTTCTGTTCAGTTGAACCCATATACCAGCCCAGAAGCAGAACATGTTAGGTCTGATTTAGTTCAGCCCAGAAGCAGAACATGTTAGGTCTGATTTAATTCATACATTAACTGTGTGAGAAAGGCACTTTAATTACATATGTGAGGAAACCAAGGCTGTGGGTTTTCCAGGGCCAACAGTAAGAAGTTGGCCTGGGATTTCCAAGCTTCAAACTGTTGACCAGAAAAGCCTTGATGTGAGTCACCCCTTTGCACTGATGTTCAAGCCTGTGGAGTCCATCACACAGAGGAATCAGGCCGAACAGCGAGTAGTGCAGGGTGTTCTTTTGCAAGATGCAAACTAGCCATGGGACAAATTGGAGTAATGATCGGGGACTTTGTTGCTTATTAGAGTGATCTAAAGGGATTTTAAAATTAGGGGCATTCCTAATCTGGCTCTTTTATATTAGCTGAAGGAAGGCTCCCGGGAATGGGGCCCAGGGATAGTTAGTATGCTTAAAATGCTGTCTAACTGATTCTGCTTTACAGAGTTGAGAACGAATACTCTGAATCTTAGGGCATGTGAGGATGGGGACAGAGGAGAGCAAAGCAATGGAAGGCAATACAGAAAACGATAGCGCGATGGCCTCCATCTGGATAGCGCAATGGCCTCCATCTGGATAGCGCAATGGCCTCCATCTGGATAGCGCAATGGCCTCCATCTGGCCTTGGGGTGTTTCTGAAGTCATCTGTTCTGTTCTGTCAGTGACTGGGCATGTAAAAGAAAAAGCAAAATCTGGTTTTAAGTACACCATGTAGACAGAATTGGAAAGGTGATCAAAACGTATCGATACTGTGCTGTGGTTTTGATTTGGTAATGAATCCAGACATTCCTAAACATCTAGGGTGATGTCGAGGCTCTGGGATTGCAGGTTTGAACCTAGTGAGTCTAGGCACTACTTTGTTATCTCCAGTGTGTATGGTTATGCCTCAGTACTGTGGTTTAAAGTAGATATTGTAACCTAATTTTTCCTTTATTGTAGGTATGACTTTAACCACCCCTCCCCATAAAAAGTGTATGCGTTGGTTATTTAGGATTTTATAGTATAGTACTGCAGATGTTATTTCTTACAGAAAGAAGCATTATATCCAATAGGGTCAGTTACTTCAGAGTTCAAATTAAAGGTTCAGTCGAAAACTGGTGTTAACAACGTGATGCTCATAAAAATGGTTCAGCGGGGTGTCTATTAATTTTTTTCTGGATAATCAGAAATGCTGGCTGTAGTCTGCGGAGAGCCTGGCTAGTTCAGTCTGGCCATATCAGAGTTATGTGGAAGCAGCCCTAGTTAACCGTCCTCTTAGGCTCCACGTAATGTCCTCATTCATCACAGCACCCGTTTCCTTCTGAGTAAAGCATGGCTTGAGCCTGTGTGAGCCTTCGGTCAGGCTCAGACAGCAGCCGAAATGTAGCCTCTCTGACTTGAGTCCACAGCTCAAGCGCTGTCATGTCAGAGACTTGGAGAGGACAACTTTCCGAGCTGTGGCCTGGAAGATAGATACTCTCAGCATCTGCTTTGCTCTTCAAGGGACCGAATATTAAAGGGGTCCCACCCTTCTTTTTCTTCCTATTTTTTAAGGTTTAGAAGGTGTTTACTTAATAATTATATTTAACTTCCCAAGCTGGTAAAGCACTTTGGATCTTAGCATTAATTTCCTTCAGTTATGATAGTCCTTAATGTTGTCATCTCGACTGGCAAGTTACTTATATGCTTATTCTGTTCTTACTGCGTGACTTCATCGTGGAAGTGTTACTATGTAAACATTCTTGAATCTTAGCAGGAAAATTTTGCTGAAAAGAAGTGAAGTCTAGGGTAATTTGGGAATCTCTTGACTTCTAGCCATTCCTAGAGAGCATGCCATTAAGAATAGTGAACCCTCTCAGAGGTTTTTGTTTGTTCTTGTTTCTCTTCGTGAAATAAAGTGCTGTTGATGTAATATATCATTGTCAGAAATAATATAGTGTTTTGGAATCCAGCACACTGTTGATCATAAAAGTAACTGTTTAAGGATTATGTCAAACTTTTTAGGTGTGGTCTTTTGTGTGCTATAAAGGAAGACCCTGGCTTTCTGTTAAGTACTGAAGTGTGAGAAATCTTTTAAAACAATGTCTGAATGCTTCTGTGGTGCTTTAAGAATAATGACAGCTACCGGTTAGAGGTGGTTGTAGATTAAAATGATTATCATGTCCTCATGCCTACTAATCCCCACATCCCAATCCATACAGTTGAAGTTGAAGCTTGCTGTTGAAGATGGCAGACCCAGATGTCCTCACCGAGGTTCCAGCAGCATTGAAACGGCTAGCCAAGTATGTCATCCGGGGCTTCTACGGCATTGAGCACGTGTTGGCTTTGGACATCTTGATCCGCAACCCCTGTGTGAAAGAAGAGGACATGCTGGAGCTGCTCAAGTTTGATCGGAAGCAGCTTCGGTCTGTTTTGAATAACTTGAAGGGAGACAAGTTCATCAAGTGCAGAATGAGGGTCGAGACGGCTGCAGATGGGAAAACCACGCGCCATAACTACTACTTCATCAACTACCGCACTCTTGTTAATGTCGTCAAGTACAAACTGGACCACATGAGAAGGAGGATTGAGACGGATGAGAGAAATTCCACCAATCGGGCCTCCTTCAAATGTCCTGTCTGTTGCAGTACTTTCACAGACCTAGAAGCTAATCAGCTGTTTGACCCTATGACAGGTGAGACTTACCCTGTTTATGAATCAAGTAAACTAAGATGTCTACTTGTTCTTTGTAATTGTTCTAAGTTGTAAGCCAATCGTCGGCTTTGTCGGAGTGAGTAGGTCAGTGTGAATAAGCATACAGCTCTGCTGTCTTGGCTGGTTGGCTTACAACTCTGAGGAGTTTTTGCAT